ACAAGCACTGACGATTTCACAGCTTTTGTCAGCTGCCTGTAGAACTCCTCCTCAGTCTCCTCATCCTGGTTTGGTGGCCTATAACAGACCCCCAGCAGGATGCTTGCCTTGTTGGCCTTCCTGCTGATCCTAACCCATAGGGACTCAACCTTATCATTCCCAGCCCCGAGTTCCACTACATCAAAACTCTCTCTGATATAGAGAGCCACACCATCACCCCTTCCATGCTGCCCATCCCTTCTGAAGAGCCTACAGCCAGACATTGCAGCACTCCAGTCATGAGAGTGGTCCCACCACGTTTCCGTGATGGCAACTAAATCATAGCCTGCCTGCCACACGATGGCTTCCCTCATCCTGTTTGTTACCTAAGCTGCAAGCATTAGTGTAGATGCACTTCAGTTGGGCCATTGCCTTCTCTCCCAGCCTTGCTGTTTTTACCCCTGGCACAGCTCTAACAAGCCTTGTTTCAGGCCCGTCCCCCTTCTCACCTAGTTTAAAGCCCTCTCAATGGGCCCAACCAGTTCCAGGCCCAGGATCTGTTTTCCCCTTAGAGATAGGGAGCTGTCTGTGGCCATCAGGCTGGGTGCCGAGTAAAGCGCCCTATGGTCAGAAAAGACAAAATTTCTGTGTTGGCATCAGCCTCTGAGCCATGTGTTTATCAGGTGAGCTTTCTGTGTCCTCTCTGTACCCCTCCCTGCCACCGTAGGGATGGATGAAAACACCACCTGTACTCCCGCTCCATCCACTAACCATCCCAGTCCCCTAAAGTCCCGTTTGATGGTCTTCAGGCTTCTCTCTTCAATGTCATCACTGCCAGCCTGGACTATTAAAAGAGGATAATAATCAGAGGAGTGAGTCAGGTTGGGAAGCTTTCTGGCAATGTCCCTGACCCTGGCCCCAGGGAGGCAGCAGACTTCCCTACGGGTAGGGTCAGGCTGACAAATAGGTCCCTCTGTTCCCCTGAGAAGGGAGTCGCCCACAACAATCACCCTTCTTTGTGTCTTGGTGGAGGCAGTCCTGGGCGTGGAGTCAACTTCCTCGCCCTTGGCATCCTCCTGGGTAGACTTTCTACCTCTTCCTCAGCTACCGGCCTCTCAAGCTCCAGGGCCTCAAACCTGTTGCGTAAGGGCACCTGGGAAGGTGGGGCCAGTGGGGGTGGGGAGCATCACCTGCGATGTCGAGCATGGACCTGTTTCCATTCCTCCTCAACTCCTAGGTCCCCTCCCTCTGGCCAACGGCGACAGGGCTGGGGGTCCACCCCCATCTGGGGTGTCTCACCCCAGTACCTGTCCTTCAGGCCATACAGGGAGTCGCTCCACAAGTCTGTCTCCCGCTCACACTGATATCCCTCAACCTCTCGACCTCCTCCTTGAGTTCTGCCACGAGGCAGACCAGGTCATCCACCTGCTCGCACCTCACGCACACAGTGTCTCTGCCCCCCACAGGTGGTAGCAACAGGCTCAGGCACTCCCTGCACTCAGAGACCTTCACTACCGCAGTTTTGAGCGGGCAGTCAGTCTGGGTGTGTACAGACTTCCTGGAGAGCACTGTGCCTGGTGTACAGCATTGCAGCTGAGCTAGCAGCAGTAGACTGCTGTTAGAGGAGGTGTTCGTATGGGCGGGGGGGAACACTCTGCCCTTCCTGCCTGCGCGACCTGCCACACTAACAGCCGCGCCACTCCCTTCTGACGCGCCACGCCCTGATTCCCCGTCAAGGTCATCGTGCTCCTGGTCGCTCGTGCTCCTTAGGGGCAGTATATGAACGGCCAGGGAGGGGGCGCTGCTGGCTCCGCCTACGCCTCCTTCTCACCTCGTTCACCTCCCTCGGGAGGGCTGCCAGGTCCTGGCGTCTCCTTCGAGTGGACTCGGTGCCGGAAAAATTAGCCCTGCCTGTCCGATTCCCCACTCCACTGCAGAACGTGTCTGCCCCAGAGCCAATCACCTCGGCAAGTACATTTAAAAGAGTATGTTACATTCAAATTCACCATAACACGTTATCAATGTGCATGTTCCATTCAAAATAAAAGCTCTTAGAGGTTGCATTGACCACATCTTTACCTTATGCTTGAGTTACGAGCGAGAGTTATGAGTGTCTCTGTTAGTAGGACCCAAATTGTAAGATATCTTTGGTTTCCCCCTTCCCAGCAGTAATCAGGTTATGGAAAAGAACAACCTAGAGAAAGCTGGCGTTACAAAAAGCATAACCTTGGGGTTTTGGCTGCCTGGGCTCAGGGCCAGAACCAGTTGCTCATGTGCTTTTCCAAAATAGTGCAAGTTCTACACTTTCCAGGTGAGAACAGCAATAAAGTACATGGTTTGCATGTACTTTACCATTTGTACACCTGGATTCCTTCATAGCAAGCAAGGTGGTGCTACAGCATAATAATTGCAACAAGTACTATCCAAATGTTAAAAATGTCTTCCAGCCAAGGTCATTAAGATTCTACTTTTTGGCTCTGCACATGTATACATGCCTTGTGTTTGTGTCCCTTACAGTCATAAGAGAGCCTGAATAGTTTAATACCCAGAGGATCACAGCTGTTTATTTTTGAGTACTGCAGCAGAGATTTAGCCTATAGCTGTAAGGGTGCGCTTTCTTGTAGAACCAAGAAACACAGTCCAGTTGTATGAAATATGAGTCCTCACTTTATCTATTGTGTTGTTTGCTAAAAAAAGTTTTGTTTCAACATATCTGCTAGAGAAATGTTGGTCAAGTCTGTTCCGGTCATGTCTAAGATCTAGCTAGTAGTGGACTTCAATAGAAGCACCATTTAAACAATCACAAGCAATGTTGCATTTTCAATGACATGCAATAGTGTGAGCTTTTGACAATGGAAGGACATACACAATGCTACTTGAGTGTAAAAATATGTAGCAAATATGGTTATGCCTTTCTCCACAACTGGAATGATCTATTCTTTTCCACTGTCACATCATGATACTTATGTAAAAATACATATCAATGTTAAGATTGCAGGCACAGGTGCTTTACCATAAAAGCATGCAACAGTTCATGTTCCACAAATTTTAAAAAGGACTTGCCTTAGTTTGAATGTGTAAGCTGAAACATTATCTTTTAATTGAAAGAGGAATTAATTTCCTTTGTTATTATATTAGAGTATATAGCAGAACAAGGGATAAAGTATGAGCATAGATCAATAAGCAAAATTAAAGCTTTGTTCATCATAAAGAAAAAAACACATTTCAAATAAATGTTCTATCTTTTTACTATGAAGCTGACTTAGCACAATTTATTCCTGAGTCATACACAGAAATGTTGCTGTGCAGTGAACCATAGTAGCATGAAAGTCTGACCATTTTGCAGATTTATGGAATCCCAGCAGGTTTTTCTTTCTAAATTTAAACTATATGTTATACTCACAAGCAGAGTCTTAAAACAGCATTAATGCTGTGATATTAGCGTTGCCAGAAAAGCATTGATACTTTGAACCATTGCTGTTGCCTGGTGAGTCTGTCATTTCAAAACTTGAATGAAATCTAGGTAGTCTCTCAACACAAGTGTGTATCAAACTTTTAAAATCACCCACTAAAAATGTGGTAAATAAATAAATCATTTTTAAGATATTGGCATGTTATCTGAAAAGATCTGACTCCTTAACAAGCCCTTTTAATCACTTTAATTACCCCCACTCTAAGAATGATTGAATGTGCAGCATGTATAAAGGGGAAAGGTATTTGTTTGGAGACAGCATTGAATGTAAAGGTGATACTGTAATTGGCTACAGTTTTAGCTTTTCCATCATCACCCTCACACATGAAGGTCTTCAGTGTCTGACAAAGTAACAGCCACTATACTGACAGTTCACTGGATCTTCAGTGTGCTGAAACTTTGCAGAAACAGTTGTGAAGAAAAAAAAATATTCTCTGAATTATGAGGCAACTACAGATTATATATAGGAAAAATTTCCACACAATTTTGCCTATATATAGGAAAAACAATGCACACAGCATTAAAGTGAGATGAGATGGAAAAAATAAAAGTGACTTCCCATGCCAGTTGACAAAGACAGGAAATAGACTGAAAGCGTGGGGAACTTCTGGTTGACAATATACAGGTGAATGTATTTTGTTAAATAAAACTCAGATTCGTTTCAGGAACTATGGCTAAGCACAGGCTTGATTTTTGCACTAATATATTCTAATATATCACATCCTTTCTATTCCTAATCCATCTGTCTTTGGAATGCTGACAGCAAGAATTTTTATTTTTTTCTGTGTGGTAATTTTTTTCCTATTTGTATGTTTATTCTAACACAAAGAGTAATGCTAATATTTTGTTTCTGAAGAACAAGAGGAAATGCAATGCAAAATACTTCAATGTTTCTTTTAAGGTCCTTCTTTTTAGCCTTCTTCCACTCTCAACCTTTCCATATTTACTGTATTTTAATATAATTTATTGTCACCAGAAACACTATTGCTACTAAGGTACCATGCATGTTTGCATTTACCATTCACAGATGTATTGTATATTGTGAGAAGCAGCTCTAGCAAAAACATCCTTGGTTCTCAAGAAAGCACACATAGGGACAAACTATTAGCAAGGCTACTATAGCTCATCTCACCTAAAACATATTCTATATGTTTTAACATGATTATGATATTTTATTTATGTAAAGCCCCTTTTAAAACTTCCAGATGAGTGTTAACCAGCTAGTACAGTGTTTCACAAGATCTTCCTGGTACAGGAAGAAATGTTTCTTTGCTGCTAGATAAAGCAGTTTATATATATATATATATATATATATATAAATATATATATATATATATATTATTCCTTAGTGATAGTGTTATGTTCCAAAGGAGCAGCTACCCCAAATATTGCTGATAAATCACAGTCTTGGGGTAAGTTGTATGGTACTGTTGAGGTATTTGTAATTCATCACATCCCTTTTATGTTTACTAACTTTGATGTTAATCCATGAGTAGGATGGCCTTTGGTGAATGAAATGTATTTTTACAGCTGTTTTAAAATTGATTAGATTGCAGGCACGCCTACTGAAATCACTCAACCAACTGAAGAAACAGAATGAGATTTGGATTATAGGGTTTCAGATAATACCAAGTCCCTTGTGAAAGGTATGTTATTTCTTCTCTTTGTTCTGCTTTTGGAAAAGTATAGCTGTGGGATGGGTTTTTTTTCAACTGTATAGGTCACAGGAATTATAAAGATTTCCAAAGCAAAATCACAGTCTGTGTTCTGAATAAAGCTAATCCAGAGCAGAGTGGTTTGCAGAGGTGTTTAGTGTATTATATATGATCATCATTAGTGTCCTTTCAAGGACATAGAAAAAGCTCCTTTAACTATCTGTTCAAAATAATTCAAATATTTCAGCTTTGGTTATAATATAACCATAGCATTAGATAAATAAAATTCTTACAGTGAGTCACACTGTATGGCATATTACACATCTGTTAAGGGTAAAACTCATTTTTTGCAAAGCGACAGAGTTGTTTCTTTACGGTAGAGGTTTAAAGGCTAGTGCTCTGTTAATCACATTCCTTAAGGCCAGTTCGTGCTAGTAAGAGCAACCGAGCCAAAGCGTTTCAGCATGCATGTCTTCATCAGCTCAAGGTATAAAAAATAGTGATGCCATAGAGAAAACAAGATGACCGCAGCTGAAGAGTCTACTGTTGAGCTTGGCATTTTTCTTTCACAAACCTTTAGGCCTACTGCTTTGGTTATCTATGGATGGTTAAGGCACAGAAGTTTATTTCAAGTCAGATTCTTTTTTGTGTTAACATCACAAGGTTTTAACCCTGTCCTCCATTACATTCTCAGAAGCAAGTTAAGATCCAGTGACAAAGTCACTATCAAATAAATTGAAAGCACTCCCACTAACTAGAATGATATATCAGTACAGCTTCCAGAAGGATCTGTCCTGTTTGTTTCAGTATTTATGTTATGGATTTGGATTATAGAATAGAAAACAGTTACCACATTTGAAGGTGACACAGCTTGGGAGGAATTGCAAGCATAATGGAAAACATAATTGAATTCAGTCAGTTTTTAATGAACTGAAAAGGTGGTACTGCAAAGAGATTGCTGCTCAACAAGAACAAATGCCAAAGTTTTACATATAGGCAACAACCATCAGCTATACAGAGCATGGGAAGTATCAGGTGAGGGAGGAGTTCTGCAGAATATGATCTGAAACAGCAGGTCTCATACAGTGTTTAAGGCATGTTGAATTATCCTTTTGGTCTGCTGGAAAACTCCATCCAGTCATGGCGAATGATATATCAAGAGTTATGTGCATCCGAACAGAATACAGAAAAGAAGAACTAGAAGCGAGATCTGGAAAACACAATATATGATGAGAGGTTGGAAGAAGGTATCTAAAGCAAAGAGAGAATGCAGCAGGGAGGGAATATTTTATTAACCCAGCCTATGTTAGATACAATGAGAAAGAATAGCCTAAAATTTCAGGAAAGAAAATTTAATCTAGACGTTGAAAACCAACATGTAAATGGAAAGTGTAATAACATATGGGTTGAGAACTGGCTGACTGGCTGAGCTCAGAGGGTGGTGATCAGCGGAGCAGAGTCTGGCTGGAGGTCTGTGACTAGCAGTGTTCCCCAGGGATCGGTGCTGGGTCTGGTCTAGTTCAACATCTTCATCGATGACCTTGATGAGGGAATAGTGTCTGCCCTCAGCAAGTACGCCGATGACAGGAAGCTGGAAGGAGTGGCTGACACGCCAGAAGGCTGTGCTGCCATTCAGCAAGACCTGTACCGGCTGGAGAGATGGGCAGGAAGAAACCAAATTGAGATTTAATAAGAGCAAGTGTAGAGTCCTGCACCTGGGAAGGAACAACCCAAAGTATACAGGCTGGGGGACGACCTGCTGGAGAGGAGGTCTGAGGAGAAGGACGTGGGGGTCCTGTGGACGACAGGTTGACCATGAGCCAGCACTGTGCCCTTGTGACCAAGAGGGCTAATGGGATCCTGGCGTGCATTAAAAGGAGCGTGGCCAGCAGGTCAAGGGAGGTGATCCTCCCCCTCTACTCTGCCCTGGTCAGGCCTCACCTGGAGTACTGTGTCCAGTTCTGGGCTCCCTGGTACAAGAAAAACAGGGATCTCCTGGAAAGAGTCCAGCAAAGGGCCACAAAGACGATACGGGGCCTGGAGCATCTTCCCTATGAAGAAAGGCTGGGAGACCTGTGTCTGTTCAGCCTGGAGAAGAGAAGACTGAGAGGGGACCTATCTCCTCAATGTATATAAATACCTGAGGGGTGGGGGACAGAAGGATGTAGCCAACCTCTTCTCAGTGGTTTGTGGGGATAGGACAAGGGGCAATGGCTGCAAGTCAGAGCACAGGAAGTTGTGCACAGACATGTGAAATAACTTCTTCACGGTTAAGGTGACGGAGCACTGGAACAGGCTGCCTAGGGAGGTTGTGGAGTCTCCTTCTCTGGAGATATTCAAGGCCTGTCTGGACGCCTACCTGGGCAGCCTGCTCTGAGGAACCTGCTTTGGCAGGGGGGTTGGACCCGATGATCTTTCGAGGTCCCTTCCAACCCCTACAGTTCTGTGATTCTGTGATATGGGTGAAGATAGCTTCAGCAGACTGTAGAATCTTCTGTAGAATCATTAGTTTCAATAACTGTAAAGGCAGGATTGGTCGCTTTGTTCATCCCAAGCTCAATATCACCCCGAAGTCAGTTATTTTTACGTGGTTTTAATCAAAGATCAATGAATTGACACAGTCTTAATCAAAAGCAAGTATTAATCCCATTTGCAGAAGTCTGATTGTCAATTTACACGTTTATATGTAACATAAAGTTCAATTTATCTTCATAAATATGAAGGTACCAATGACTGAGCATTGCTAGCAGGTGGAAAAGAGCATTTTCCTTCTTGATTTGGTAGTAATTCACCTCTGAGTATTTGAGCAGGTTATAATGGCATCTAACCATGCCCAGAAGACCCTGGCATTTTCAAAGCTGGGAAAGGAAGGCAATGGAGTGATGAAAGAAAACTTTTCACCGCTGTGTTAATATTAAGAAAACCAGAAAGAATTGGAGGGAGGGGGATTTTGAACATGAATAGCTCTCAAAGATAATCTGCTGTAAAAATAAGTATGACGGCTCTCTGACAGATTCCTTCTCATTAATACAATGTGAAGATACAGGGCTGCACATCAGCTAGAAGCCCTGAAGTATGTTTTAGCTTGACAGGGTGAGAAAAAATTTGGAACCTACTAAGTACTAGGTACAGGTATAAACATCTTTTCTGTACCTATTGTCTTAATACCTGTGTTATTTTTTGTTTGTTTGTAAATGAATACATTTATTTCACCATTGTCTCAAGCCCAGTGAATTTCACTGTTATTCTACAATGCAAGATTAATTCCATTTCCACTATGTGCTGGAACCTGTACACAGGGATAACCAAGCATTCTAGTATTTTCCAACACATTGTTAGAGGTTTACATTGTCTCTGCTTTAACTGGTGAGTGGATAATGTGGAAGTCTGCAATGGAAAAGTTTTCATCTGTTAACAAAACAAATTGTTTGGAATGTGTCAGACCATCTTTAAATCCTTTGGTGAAGCTTTTTTGGATTAAATTTGATAAAATACAGCAGGAGTAATTCAGATACAGTTCATTCTGTTTTGCAAAAGAAAGGTAGATGGATTTTCCTATGGTCCATTCCTATTTTCCTAAGGACTATGGGTATGCCCACTGTGCAATCAAAGAAGGTGTTGCAGCATAGATAGTGACACAGATTACCTTTAATCTGGTTAACATGGACACTAAGTGCAGTGATGACAAACTTTTACAGAGTTACGTAGGGTTTCTGACATCCCGGATGCATGGTCACAGGCTCCATTATTCTAATATGGCATACTTCCCTGCTGTTTTTACCTCTGCCATCTTCTCTTTCTCTACACTCAGTGATATTTAATATATGAACCCTACTATAGACCCAGAGATCGTTTTCCATCAAGTATATTGGAAACTCCTTAATACATACCTAATTTAAATGGGACACATCTTGTCCAAAGTGGGTGTCACTTTGTGTATATCAAGCATACAGACCATATCCAACTGAATTATCGCAGATTAGTAGATTTCCATGATTAGCTGTATTGTGATTGCTGTCTCTGTGAATCTTTCCTGTCTGCAGGATGTGAAAGGAAATATGGCATAGGTTAAACTGAAACGAGAAACTGACTAATTGACTATAATATCAAGATTTACCTAGCTACTTGTAAAGGAGAACAGTTCCTTAAGGATACCCTCCTACCCCAACTAAAAAGTTACAATAAATTTGAAGAAAAATAGATCGTTTGCTAGGCCTGAGCAAATCATAGGTACTGCAGCTTATAATCATTCTTTGAATGTTTTGGTCTATGTTTTTATTTTCTGAACTATTTTAGAAATATAATTGAGAAACTAATTGATATACTTGTAAAAAATAAAAAGTCTGTCCATGTAAGAATATGGGCATTGAAAGAAATTTAAGCAGTCTTTTTATTAATAGCATACTCAATTACCATGGCTCAGCTGACATACACTTACTTCCACTGTGGTCTCTTTATTTTTAGTCCAAGGCTTTCGTTTCTTAAGCCAGACCTTTCAGCACTGAAGGAAACAACTCAATAAAACCAATTTGGATACAATACTCAGAACTGGTACTTACTGCAATATCCAGTGTTGGTGACAGGCTGTCTGGAGCCCTGCCAGTGCTGATTTAGCAGTATATGCCAGCTCAGTGAGTCAGAAACAGTTTTTACATGTGCCAGCTCAATTGTGCAAGGTTGCTCAGAAATCCCTTTCAATTTCCAGGCAGAATAATTGCTGTATTTCCAATCTACTCTCCTTCAGAGAAGGGAACAAAAGAAAGGAGAAGCATCAATAGAATGGCTTTTACTATCAAATTTGTAGCCTGCTCTGGAAGGTCACTGCTTTGAAAATATTTCTCTGTAAGTGAATATTTAGGTCATGTGATAGAGGGTGCAGCTTTCTGTCATTCAAGTATGCAAGAGAAAAAAAAAAAACAGTAATGGAAGAGAATAAGTGCTAGGAAACAATAGCAATAAAGGCTAAAGAGTCGCTTGCTTAGGAAAAAAAA